ACATATATATCAGTTAAGAAGGAAGGAAGGAAGGAAGGAGAGGGAAAGACATTGTGAGGTCACAGGAGACCTGGGGTTTTAAGGCAGCTAGTCCCTCCATCAGGCACTTTGGACAGAGCCCGTGTCCCTTGCTCCTTCCAGAGGCACGGCCATTCCTTAGCTCCCCAGGTCTTTTAGCTTCAGTGTTTGGGACCTTCCCTTCCGGGCACCCCCCTGCAGTTTCCTGCTGCCCCTCTCTTCTCCTGCACTGCACTCTTCCCACAGCTCTCGAGATCCTGGCCTGGACTGTCTCCAGGGCTCTGGACCAACACGTTCCCCGTCTCCCCACCCATCCAGGCCCTTCATGGGGCATTGAGGCTCTTCACCCTGATGTGCAGGTCTTTCCCACGGTGGCCAGAGGTGTGGAGAGTAACCTCGTGTCCTGTGTGGCCCCTTCTGCATTTGTAGGGTGGTAACCCATGACCATAAGCCCCTGCAGCGTGCGGAAGCCCCCTCTCGAACTGGAGAGGTGTAGGGTCATTATCAAGATAAGGAGGGCCAGTCCTAGGAAACCAGACTCGGTGACTCATCTGGGTGACTCAGAAAATCAGGGTCAAGAATGGAAGCTGGACGCAAATGGCCACCCAGCTAACCAAACAAGGGGGCCCAGCCAGCTGATGCTGCGGTGTGAGGAAGGAGAGGACCAGATCAGCAAGCCCTGGGGAGGACTTGGGCCTGGGCCCAGGCTTCGTTTCCTGCAGTGTGTAAGTGCCTACGCTGTGGTGAGAGCCACGAGGCAATCTGTAGGTGTGGGTTTGTCCTTCCTGAGCACGCTTTTGTCTAGACTGTTAACTGTCGGGAAAACTGGACTTCAAAAACGCATCCTCAGCCTCTCCCAGAGACTCCCTCACAGCACAAACCACTTTAAGAGAAAACTCTGGCCTGGGATTTATGTTCGAACAGCTTGTTTCGGAGGTCGCCCAGGCAGAGGACGTTGCCCAAGGTCAGAGACATCCCAATGGAGCTCGGAGCCTTTTCAGCTGCTGGTGCATCCCGGTGCCTCCCTGTGCCCACGTTAGCAGCCTTCCCAGGGCTTGCCTCTTCTGTGGGTCACCCAGGGGCCACTCACTTGCCGTTTGCATCCTCCTCTGAGTGCTGGCCTCCCTGCGGCCACTGGATCTCTGTCCTCTCTGCTGGCTCTGTTGGAGGTGGGAGTGTGGCCCCCACCCTGGGCCGTGCTCTGCAGGAGAGCAGGGTGGGTCCCATTCTACTCGCTGATCCCTAGGAGGACCCTGGGCCTGACCAGGAGGCACGAGGCGTTTCCCCAGGCAGAGACCAGGAGCGGGCCAGGGCCTGGCGGTCACCTCCTCCCTACCATGTGTGTGCAGCCTCGCGGGGCTGGCATTCTGTCATGCTCTGGCTCGGAGGCTTAAGGACCTGGCCCAGGTTCTCCCACTGGAACGCTGACTCCCAAGTCGCCAAACGTTTTTTACCGGAGGAGAAAAACCATAGTCCAAGGGAGGAAGCCATCATCATTCTTTGGAGACACACTGTAGACCTGCCTTGTCCACGGTCTCAGTCACCCACATCAGCTGCCATCTGAAAATATGAAATGGAAAATCCTAAAGAAATTCCCAAGTCTCAATGCCCTTTAGTGCAGCCTGTGGTTGGAATTGTCCTAATTACCATTCCCATTGTCACCATGTCTCACCGGGCCTGGTCCACAGTCAGACCTTGTCACTGGTACAAAGAGATGGCCATGAAAACCCCACTCTGTCTTCCCCATGGGGCTGGGGATGGAAGCCAGGCCTCGGGGCTCCCGCAGAGCCATGCGTAGCCCTGGGCGCGGTGTGATGAGGGTACCTGCATCCCCAGTTCTAGGCAGCCCTAGGGGTCTGCGACTCATCCTGAGAGAATGGGGACAACGGGGCTTATTTCTCCCGAGTGAGGGGTTGGCTGTCCTGAAGATGCGAGGATCTGGCGTCCCAGGAAGCCAGCCTGGCCTCTGGTTGGACCATGCCCCCCGCACCAGCTCAGCACACCCTGAGGGAGAGGGGCCCGTGGAGGCTGCGCCCACACAGGGCCGCTCACCGTCTCCTTGGGAAGGACGTGCCAGGCGGGAAGCAGAGGGTGGCTGGCCTCCCGGCGTCCTGCCCTCTGCGCCCTGTTCCTAGATTCCCACCAACACTTTGTCACTTTAATGAATCTCACACACATAGGCTTTTTCTATATTTCAGGTACTTTTCACAGAAAAATCCGACTATGAAAACCTAAGACAGGAGGCTGTGGGGCAGGTGAGGTGAGGAGGCCGGGAGGCTCCTGCCGTCTGAGCGTGACGAGCAGCGTGAACTCTGTCTTCCTGGGGTGTTGATTCTGATTTGTCACAGACATTAAGATTAAAGTCCTCACACTGATCAGGCAGATGAAGGTCTCTGCTGTTAACCTTGAAATGCCGACGACCTTGACTACAGGGCCTGGGTGGCTGTCCACTCGGCCCAGCCTCCTATTTGTTGGTATCTCCGGAGTCACTTCCCCCTGCCTGGCCCTCTGCCGGGCCCTGGCCACTGCAAGGCCCCAGGAGTGTCTGCTGTGTCAAGACGCTCTGGAGCCCTGTCCTTACCACTGCCCAGGTGGCTGGATGGGCTGTTTCAGAGCCCTGCCTTCAGGCTAGTGACTTGAGAAACAGAGCAGGAGACTCTGCAGGGAGAACCAGGAATGGGCCTCGGCGTCTGGGGGACAGTCAGGGTGGAGGCCACCTGTGTCACTTCTCCCTGGCAACTTTGCCCGTGACCAGGCTCTCCAGGTGCAGCAGAGTGGTGGTGACTGTGGCGCCTGTGCCACCCCCGCCCCCGTGTCAGGCTCAGACATCATCTGCGAAACCGCCAACAGTGCTGCCGTTGTCCCAAGGGTGGACTTCCAGGTTTCGTGGCCTTTAAAAATGTTTTTTGAGATGAATTCCCATACCAGACATCCCGCCCACTTGGGCAGAATGGACAGTTTTAACACTCAGGGTGCATGCAACCACTGGCCTGTCCCCCTCAAAACCAGCCTTGAATCCAAACGAAGCCAGGCCCTCAGCTCCCACCCCTGCCCCTCCCCTCCCTTCTCACTTTTACTCTGAGTTTATTTCTAAGTTAAATTGAGTAAATATAAGGTCTCTCGTACTGACTTGGAAGCGTCGTTTCCTGAGATGGGCCTGGGGCAGGCCTGGGTGCTGGGCAGGAAAGTGGCAGGCCGCGTGTTGGTGGGGGGTTTGGCTCCTGGTTGCCATTCCCAGACCACTTCTATTTTGAGAAGCAGATGAGCTCTTCCTGTTCCGGTGGGAGTCAGGATGTATAAGTGAGGTGGGTGGTGGGAGGGCTGGGGAGGAAGGGGCTGGGTGGATGGGTCAGGGTGGGGTGCTGGGAACCGTCTCCCCAGAGCAGACGCTGCCTCTCCCAGGGCGTCTGCATGGTCAGGAGCTGCTGGCTCCTGGACTTTCTGACCGTGGACTTGACTTGGGGGCAGAGCAGGGATGGGTGTGTGGGAGACTGGGAAGGTGAGCTCAACCTTGGCCTCCTTTGTTTCAGGCCGCCAGATCCCACCCTTGGAACCCCACAAGAACGGGAACATAGATTGCATCAAGGTGGCGAATCTGTCCTCGCAAGGGGGCCGGCGGTGCTGCTGACCAGGGGCCACCACGCTCAGTGCTGGAGGAAGCAGGAGCCATGTGCTGCGCCCTCCAGGGACCCCACTCTTGGGGGCTGGCATGGCACTCGGAGAACTGAGCTGGCAGCTTCCCACCCTGGAACACCTGCAGAGACCGAGGCAGGAAATGTCCCTGAATGGGGACTTTATAGAACTCTGGGGAAACCCACCACACCACCACAACGTGGCCCTTGGAGCGTGAGATACACACCGGAGGAATTATACTTATTAGGCAATAGGTATAGTTTCCTTTTTAACATTAGAAAAAGTTTGGATTTGTACCCAAATTTTAAAGTACTGTTATCTGGTTTCCTAAGTCACCTCGCCAGAGTCTGGGACGTTTTCAGTGCCCTGGCCTTTGTGCCCTGACCAGCCTTCACTGAAGGACAGAGTCACTGTAGAAGGTCAGGTTTCACTGGCTGTTGAAGCCAGCCTTTATTTATCAGTGTTCTGAAGGAAGCCAGAGTAGCGTGACTGGACCACCGTGGACGCTGGCCTGAACTGCGGTAAGAGAGACAGGTCTTAGCAACTGTCATGGACATCTCTCCGTCTGATGGATGAACATTTTCCTAACTTTTGAAAACAAAATCAGACCAAAAATCATACATGATTTTGGGATTGGGAGGCCCAGTTTGAAAGTCAGCGAAGTCCTCACCATGTGAAGAGTGGCAGAGGGAGGGTGCGGATGTCACTCAGGGGACCACCTGGCCCACATCTGCTCCACGGTAGTAAGGCCCTACTCTCTTGCAGACATTGAATGCACAGAGTAATGTTTTCCTAAGAGAATGTCTTACGGTATCATGTCCAGGGGGTACTAACTGGAGGGTGCTGGAATCTAAATTGTAGGACAAACATCTAATAATAGCAACTAATCCTGAGTGACTGCAAAGCCAGCCCAAGGAAAGATTGCCACCTTAAAGATCTAGACCCCCAAAGCTCTAAGACCAGAGAGGGCATTTTAAGCGCTGCCAGGCTAGGGGAGGAAGGTAGCAGGCACATCAGTCCAGCCCGGGAGTGTCCGTGAACTGGGAAGAGGCTCCTGAAAGCCTCTCTTCCCAGTTGATTAGAGACACTGACTCCAAGGGAAGTCAAGGGAGGAAAGCATGGAAAAGAAGAGGAGCTTTTTCACTGAAAATTCAGATCCTGTTCCTACTCCAGCTTTCAAAGAATCTTGGGATTGAGAAGCAGTTGGTTTCCTGACCGGGCTTCTGTTGAGGAGTGGGGCCAGGAAAACCATGAACCCTGGTGATCATCCTGCTGTGTGTGGGCACTGGCCAGCTGGTATCTTCTGTGCCGTGGGCATTCAACGGCCAGCAAACCTTCCGTGATGAAGCTCCGGGAGAGAGAGCTACGTGCTTCACCCCAGGGATGTGCTGCCAAGTGGACTGCCCACCCTGGGGGAGTTGATTGACAGTCTCAGGATGTGACAGCAGGAAACACTCGTTTTGGTTGTAGCATGACCTTGGCTGTCCCACATAGTGCCTCAGAAACTGCTAGCGAGTGGCATTTAATGTCTTGGCTGGGCCCTTGCAAGGGCTCCTGGGGTTTTCCACGTTGCCAGCATAACTGGCTGGCTCGATTTATTTGCAAGCCAGGATGTTATCTTGCCTCTTGCCAACAGTTAAAATAAAGAACCCACGTTGAACCTTGAAATGACGCTCTGCAGGAGACGGGCAGGCTATGTTGGACTCTCCTCTCTGAGGAAACCTGCGCTTCTCTCTAGCCAGAGACTCGGGCTCAGGAGCTGACACGGCACAGGCCCAGGGCAGTGCCGCAGCTCCGGACGAGGTTCTTGGTGTTGCATCTTGCAGAAGGTGTCCAGTCTTGACCACAAGTCGAGAGCTGGCCATTAATGAGCCCCTGGTCCTATTTCGGGAGCACACAGGGTGTAAGCCCTCTCTTACCTTGCTCTGTGCCTTGGCTATTGTGGCCAGTCTGAGGACAAAGTGCACTTGGCAGCAGGCAGAGCAGGCGGCACCTGGGCATGGGCACCCTGACGCTGTGCCTCCTCTGCAGATGGCTGCCCAGGCCTGTTCCCCAGGAGGCTCTTGCCCTTTTTGCTGCCCAGGCCGATCTATCAGTGAGCCCTGACCTCCACGGTACAGAAAGGCCTGGGAATCGCCACTGTCCCACATGTCAAGCAGTGTCATAGGAGGCCCTGTCCCTGCCAACATTTTCCAAAATTGGCTCCTTCCCCATCCTCCTCCACAGGTGGTCATGTGTATATGTGTAAATAGGACTTGGTGCTGGTTGTGCCAACACATAATTCAGTTCACTCTGGCTTGGTTTGGCTCTCGACCGTGCCTTCTGTCAGACTGGCATGGGCTCTCACAGGGGTCGTCCCCAGGAACATCTGGTGGCAGCAGAGTAGTGAAAACATCTTGGGTTGGGGACAGAATCGACTTCCACGTGGTGGTTAAAATGGCCCCATGGGTGCTGAGCAGACCTGGCCTTGCAGACTGAAAGGCTGCAGACCTAGGTGTAGCCAACAGTGAGGGCTGTGCCAGGTTCCTGGGAGGCTGGTGACTGGCGGTGGCTGAAGCTGAGCTCATGGCAAGTTGAGTGATGGGCTCTGAGCCGCGTTCAGACCTCACAGGGTGTAGACTGCTCTGTGGGCCTCACTGCGAAGCTGGTCATGCAGGGCAGTGCCCTGTCCTGCCCTCGCGGCCTGACCTGATCTTTCTGTAAAGGGCTTCCTCTGTCTGGGCTGGACCCAGTTCTCGATCTGCTGCAGGCCGCGCGCCTTGTATGCTCCTCCGCGCGAAGCTCCCTCAGCAGTGCCCGACCATGTCTATTATTTTTGGATTTAACACACTGATTCATACTAATAAATATTCTAAGTTTTACCAAATGTGTCCTTTTCTTATTAAAATGTTCAGTAGAATGATTTTTTTTGGAAATGGCAGTCAACGCTGAATGAACAGTGGCGAATCCCCAGAGGAACACGTGTACCCACTCACATGAAAACCATTTTTGCTAGAGCAAAACGCAGTCTCCCGCTGCAGAAATGGACAGTAAACTATGGCACAGTCACATGGTGGCAGCTATGGGCCAATTAAAATGAGCGCGCTGTCTGAATTGCATCTTAAAGACAGGCAGGACCGCAGGCTGTCACCCTGCACAGCCCCAGGGAGCCACTCCTGTGCAGTAACAGAGCCCTATTAGGAATCTGTCTCGTGATATAAAAGCCAACAGGACACACCGAGAACGCCCAGAGTCAAGGTGTCTGCCTCACTAGCCTCTGTATTCTTCTGTCATAATATTCCCCAGCAAGGAAGGGTGTGGAGATGGGAAGCCATGAAGCATCCGCCCACTGTGCCATGCTGGGGGTATTTCATAAGTACAGTCACCAACATGTGGGGGGATTGCAGATGGGCACGTCCCCTCGCCTGGGCTCCCCTGCCCCTTGCAGCACACAGCTCACTGGTGCAGTGTGCCTTCGGGGCCTCTTGATGCCACACAGAGCTTCAGGTGAGGTTAGACGCCCCTGGAACAGGCTGAGCCTCATGTTCCTAGTGTTCCAGACACTGCTGAGCTACAGCTGGGACTCCACTTTCAATGTGGCACCAACAAGAACAAGAAATGCTGCCGGGTGCAGTGGCACACATCTGTCATCCCAGCAGCTCAGGAGGCTGAGGCAGGAGGATTGTGAGTTCAAAGGCGGCCTCAGCATTAGTGAGACCCTTAGCAACTCAGTGAGACCCTGTGTCCAAATATAAAAAAAGCTGGGATGTGACCCAGTGGTCGAGTGTCCCTGGGTTCAATTTATCCCTGGTACCAAAAAAAAAAAAAAAAAATGCAGGAAGAAAGAAACCCCCATGACCAATAGGAAACCCAGGGCCCTGGTCTCTGGGGAGGCAGCCCTCCTTTGCATCTGCTGGGGGTTCCCCATCTACACCAGCTTTGGAAATGTCTGGAACGAGAGGACCCACAGCGGCCTCCTTGGTCAGTGGCACCCTGCACAGATTCACCCTCCTACCTCCTCCCCGCATAGGTGCTATGCCCCTTCCTGCACAGGTGTATGTAATAGGACCTGGTGTCAGGAGAGTTGTGCCCTGAGGCCGGGGCCTTCCCAGGCAGCTTGGGGGGCCCACAGAATGATGGGCAGAGGGGCCTGGAGGACAAGGACGAGCTCAGGGTGCGCTTGGTGGCACTCCTTCAGCATCCTCGGGCCCCTCTGAACTGTCTGCACCTATTCCCTGTGCAGCCCAGTGCTGTCCAGAGAGCAGGCCCTGTGGACAGGGCAGGAGGGAGGTTCCATCCATGTCACCAGCCTGTCCCCTCCAAGCATGGCTCCACTTAGGTTTCTAGACTCCCCAGTGACAGCGGCTGAGCCGCCTGCTCATGGCCTTACCTTCTTCCCACGCTCCTGTGAGAAAACCGAAGGATGACACCTGTGGTGGCAGGTGCAGAAATGGGCTGTGCCCCGTGGGGCGTGAGGACAGGAGCGGGCACCATCTCTCCAGAGTGTTTGTCACTCCAAGCCCGACACAGTTGGAAGGGTCATGTCCCCCAGCCCGAATTCTCAGCTTTTCTCTGAACTGGTTCTAAATGCCCACGTGTGTCCACACGTCTGCACTGCGTGTTGTGCAACACGTGCAGCCAGAACTTAAATTGGCATAAAAGAAATGACCACCCGCTGCCCTTCAGCTTCCGGGCAGGAGCCTGGGGCCTGGCTGGGCTGCAGCCAGCCTGCCCAGAGCCTCGGCCTGGCTGGGATTCAGGGGCCCCATTCCCTGCCCCCGCCATAGGCAGGAGGCTTCTGTGGCTGCCAGTTGGACCCTCCATGGATTGCTTGAGTGGCCCCACGATGGGAGGGGCCCGTGTCGAAGGCAGAGCTGAGCCAGTCACCTCCCTTCCCCTTGTGGCCCACAGTGGCTTCCAGTACTTAGGCCTTATGTGCCGTCTGGCTCTAACCTGCACCTTCTCCCTGGGGTGGGGGAAGGGTGTGTAGAAGTTTCCAGAGATGCCATGGTGTGCCCGCTCCAGGGCATGGACCTGCTCAGGGGCGCACTGCTTGGCTGCAGCCCTGCAGAGGGGACTCCTCCGCTCGGGGCTGTGGCTGTGGCCCCTGCGCCCATGTTTGGGTGAGCTGGTCCCAGCCTGTTTCTCCAGCCTGACCTGCTAAGCTCTTTCTCATCTCCAGGGCCCCTTCCTAGAGCCTGGGGTGGGGGGGCAGCTCCAGGCTGGCCTCCTCGAGCCTCTTCAGTCCTGAAATTCTCTGCTCGAGCAGACTTCACCTCCAGACGGGGCACCTCAGAGGGAGCAGTGCTGTCTACATTCAGCAGGAGCAAGTGGCCTCGCCGGGCAAACTGCGATGTGCAGCGCTGTGGTCCAATGGGAGCGTCCACTCCAGAACCATGTCCTCCCCAGTGGGAGGTAGGAAGAAGGCGGAATCACAAGCCACCATGGCATTTAGAGGTGTTCAGAGGTGGGCCTTTGAGGAGTGACTAGGATTAGGTCACTAGGGAAGACTCTCATTATTGAGTTCTGGTGACATTCTATGAGAGAGGGAGAGAGAGCACAAATGCCAGACCCTCTGTTTCTCCCCACCTGGACTCTGCCAGCAAGGAGGTCATCACTGGGTCCTGGACCACAGGCCAGAATGTGAGCTGAAACAAACCTCTTTGCCTTATAAATCACTTGCTCTGTGGTATTGTGTTGTTAGCAGCAAAGTAGAACTTTCATCATTCTAGCCTGACATGCGTCATACCTGGCAAAGTGGGGGATGTGTCAAGGAGAGGGTCAGGAAACTCAGGGGTTCTTGGGGGTAAGCACCCTATTGAAACTACCTCTGTAACGTCATCCACTCACCTGCACACCCATCCACCTGTCCACCCACCCAACCATTCACCCATCATCCACCTTCCCTCCATCCATCCACCCACTATCCACCCATCTTCCCACCCACTAACCCATCCACCCATCTTCCCATCCATCCACCCCCATCACCCATCCATCCCCCCACCTGCCCTTACTCCTCATGTGATGCTGAGCAAGTAACTTGGTCTCTCTGGGTTTGTTTCCTCCTATAAATAGACATAGTGCCACATTCCAGGGTTGACATCGGGATGAAGTAGAGTGACAGAGAACTTGGTGGCTGTGACAAGGATGCAGACCTTGGCCTTGGCCCTGAGGTGGGGTCTCTGCTCCTGGCTTTTCACTCGCCACTTTCTTCTTTTTCTTCTCTTCCCTTTTCTCTCTCTCGGGAGGCAATACAGGGTGGAGATTCAGGAATCTGGAGTCAGACCAGCTGATTCTGGCTTCCAACCCTGACAGGCTGGCTGTGGGCCTTTGGTGGGTAACCTCCCTGAGCCTCAGTTTCCTCAATGCAAACTGTGGATAATAATTCACATGCACCCATATCCACACTCCTGGAATCAAAAGGTTTTGTAAAAAGAAAGATTTTTTTTCCATGTTTGGCATAATCGCTTGGCGGCAGAACCAAACCTGAACTTGGGCAAAGCTATTTACAACTGTATTTCTCCAACCAGGGGTGACGATTGGGTGATGGAGCTGAGAAATGCTGCAGTGTTTGATTAGAGAGTCCTCCTGCAGCTGGGCTGGAATGTTCTGTGATAGACACACCATGTCTGTAAAATCTAGGCAAGAATTCTGAAGTTGAAGATGCCTTTGCCCAAGGCATCGAGTACTGCAGGGTGCTCCAGGCCCCGGGGCTGGAGCAAGGAAGTGCAGAGGAAGAGCTGCCCCGTGGGAGCCATAGGCAGCCCCAGCAAGGACAGTGTGGAGGAGGCTCTTGGTGCCCCTGAGTGGGACCTCAGGGTTCCGCCCTGCAGAAGGCACCTGGTGCTGGCAGCCAGCAAGAGCCCAGGAGCAGCAGCTGCGGTGAGCAGAGCCACCGGCTGCACCAGGCACCGCCCGGGGTTTACGTCCACCTCGTACTTCCCACCCACCCCGTACTTCCCACCTACCCCATGAGGTCCGTGCGGTCATCATCTCCATTTTACAGATGAGGAAGCTGGAGTGAGGGGTTCAGTGAATTGTGTAAGGTTACAAATTAGCAAAGGCCAGATGTCAAAGGCTAGCACCTTCTGTATTTTCATTATAACTGCTGTCAGGACAACAGAGAAGACAGTCGGGTGTTCTAAAAGGTTCCCGTGAACTACTCTCAAGTCATCTCTCATTTTGTTCAAGAAACACATCTGAGAAGGGTGCACAGTTGCTTCATCTGTCAGGACCCTGGAGAGCTGACGTGGGGCTCTCAGTTTCATGCAGCAAGAAAGTAGGGCAAGCTGCATCCACAACAGGTTCACCTCTCCAGACCGACTCGCCCTCAGGGGAAGGTCTCCCCTGGGGCGTGAGGTCCACCCCTCCAGACCTACTCACCCTCGGGGAGGAGGGAGGCGCCCTTGGCAGGGTCTCCACCGGGGAGCGGGGAGCATTGGTGGCCCCTCACTGGAACACTGAGTCCTCTGACAGAGACCTGGTGGTGGGCCTCCACCACCATCTGATCTTGCCCGCTGCTGCAACTGCTCAGCGGACCAGCAGGCTGCCTGTGGCGTCCTTGCTGTATCCCTGGCCCCAAGGCTGAGACCTTGCTCAGCCCTCTCTGGATTCTCAGCTGGCCTGGACCCCCATGCACCAGGGTCCAGTGATCTCAATCCTGTAGGGCCTCAAGCACTGAGTTTGCTTCTGAGAACCCAGTGCCCAGACTGGTGTCCCCAGGTGGGCCTGGTGTCTGTGCCCCTCCCCTTGGGCTCTCCCTGGCCCTGCACACATCTTGCTATATAGCTGGATCTGAACTGTCCCTGCAGACATGTGGAGTATGGTCCCACTGGGCACTGGGCGGTGGTGGGAACTTGAAGAGGGTGTGCCCTGGGGTCAGGAGGGCCTAGCTTCCTCCTTTCCCACCTCCTGGCCACGTGCTAAGGGCTCTGCTCCACCTGGGTGCTCCTCCCCTGCTGTGCTGCCCGCCAGAGGATCACAGCCTCCAATGCTGAGCCACAGTAAGCCCTGCTCCTTGTAAGCTGACCACTCAGGTATTGGAGAATCCCAGCTCATATCTAGGCACGTCCCCAAGTGCTAAAACTCCCTCCCTGAAATGCCCTGAACTGTCCCCTCCTGTCAGCAACACACATGCCTGAACCCTCTCCAGGTCCCACCAGCTGTCCTCCGTGCCTCTCCACTGAGCCGCCCTCTCCTTCACACTCACCCTCAGAGAGAACCTTCATCTCCTCCAAAACCATGAGCCAGAATAAACCCGTTTTCTCTGTAGGCTGCTTGCCTTGCGTACTTTGCTACGACAATGGGCACTGACTAACACAAGGATCTTCGGGAATGACGCCCAGCCTCGCTGTTCTGGTTCTTTTTTCCTAACATTTAATGAAGAGGAAGACGTTGACAGGAGAAGGTTTGGCGTTTATTCCCATCCTCTGCTTAAGAATCGTGCATGAGCGAGAGGCCTCTTGCTGCAGAGGCGCTTTACATTGGGGAAAGATGTGCTCTTGTCCTTTAAAGCATCACATCTTGTCCTTTAAAGCATCTGAGATCCTCGCCCAGTGCTTCCCAGGAGCGAGGCGGGGCTGTGCTTGGTGGCATCTGGGGAAACAAGGACGGATGTTGTTAGGAATGTGGCTTTGCTGCGTCGCGTCTCTCTCCCCGCTCCATTCCGCATGTTGGTGTAGAAGCTCAGAGAAGAACTTGCCCCCCCCCCCATGTCTCGGAGCCCCTGCGGCCAACCTGACTACCTCTTGGTTTCTAAAACAGGTGAGGACTTGTGCAAAGTGCATGTCAGGGAGCATGCACCTCAACCCCCGTCGCCTTGGCCTGGGTGCACCCTGCAAAGTGCAGGGAACAGGTGCAACCTGCTTTGAGAACAGAGGAAAGTGTGGACTGCGTTCGGCACCGTGGGGCAGGTGTGGCAGAGGGAGCCAGCGCCAGCCACAGGACGCTCTCCCTCTGAGGGGAGGGATGTGCCTGGCAGGAGAGTGCAGGTGGAGCTGGAGGGTGGGGAAAGGCTCTGGCAGGAGCTGGACCTGTCCTGGGCACTCTGGAAGAGCCTCCGTGGCCACGAGGGGACACATTGGCCACAGCCACAGGTGGTGCTGCGCTTTTGTGTGTGGTTTGTCCTCCAAAGGCTCCTGCGTCAGAAGCTTGGCTCCCAGAGTGGTGGTCTCCTCCTGAAGCAGAGCCTCGTGGGAGCTGGTCACGCCACGGGTGCTGCTGCAGAAGAATACAGCAGTGCTGCTGGGAGCCTGAGCTGCTTCTCACAAGGTGGTGGTTACAGAAGAGCAGGCTCCTCCTCATGCTCTGGCTTCCTGACCATGTGATCTCTCCCTCTTGCTTGGTACCCTACCATTGTGATTCCATCTGCCATCGGGCTCTCACTGGAGCTGAGCTGATATGGCACTATACCCTTGAACTCCCAGAACTGTGAGCCAAATCAATGTCTTTACTTTATAAAATACCCCACCTCAGGTGTTTTATTATAGTAATTGAAAACAGACTAATACAACGAGTAAATCATAAAGAGAAAACTAAATCTGGGCAATCCTGGACAGAGATGTTAGGAAAGTGGGTTCACACCACCAGACTGGACAGGACATGAATAGCCCTGAGCAGCAGTTCAGAGTGTGAGCTTGGAACTTGCCCTCCACCCTAGGTCTGTGACCTTGGGCAAGTCACACACTACAAGGCTGCTTCCTCTTTGTAAAGTGCTGATCATAATGGCACTTACCTCAGTGGCCTGTTACAATGTCTCAGGCACAGTGTGGCCAGGCCCTGCACCCAGCCAGCAGGGGACTGCGGGTGTCACTGTGGGGACCCTGAGTGGGAAATCCAGCTGTAACATGCGGGCTGGGCAGACATGGCCCTGGCACTCCAGTGCCCGTATGGATAGCAGGGCAGAGGGGCAGGGCACCCCTCACCATGAGGCCTCTGCGAAGGGTCAGGAGGGGCGGAGGCAGGGGCCGGAAATGGAAAGTGTGCCATCCAGAGCTGCAGAAGAGTCTCAAAGGAGATCGGACGATCAAGAAGAAACCGCTGAGGATGATGGCAATGGTAAGGGGGATGGAAGAGGGCCACCTTGGAGACGTGTCCTTGGGGAGGAGGTGGCATTGTCAACCAAGAGGAAAGTTGTCATTAAAACAAAAAAGTAGCCAAAGACCCAGTCGTCCCAAGCTGCTCGGCTTTCTGTTGAATGACGTCGTTGGCATCAGCACCTCATTCACCAGACCCGACGGAGGGCCTGGGAAGGGCAGCAGCCTTCCTCGGGGTAGCTTCTTCTTTCACATTTTTCACTTTATCTATCTACTTTTTGTTGTTGTTGTTGTTGTTCAGAAAGCCCATTACAGGTTCTGCCCAACAAAGGGGCTCTTCGGGTCCCAGGGTTCTTGGACACAGCCAAGGCCAAGGAGAAGACCTTTGTCCCTGGGGTCAATCACGCACTCCAGCTCGCCACAGAAAGGTCTCAGAGCCTGCAGCAGAGCAGTGACCTCCCCAGGTTCTCAGCAAAAAACCCCCAGTCTCCGCAGTTCTCTAAGACCACAGCCAAAACTGTGCTCCCCAAACAGGGGAGCATTCCCAAGTCCCCTGCAGACCCCGCCCAGCCCAAGGCAGGCAGCACCCCCAAGCTCCTGGCGAAAGCCGTGCAGCTCAAGCTCAGGAACCCCCCCAAGGCCCCAGCCAACGTCACAGAGCCCCTGCAGGGCCACAGTCTGCAGGCCTCCGAGAAGGGCACCCAGCCCAGGAAGGGGCACTCCCCCAAGTCCCTAGACGAAGCCATCCATGCCAGAGTGGGGAAGGCCCCCAAGTCCTTCGGACAAGCCACCCAGTCCAGGCTGGGCATCATCTCCAAGGCCTTCGGACAAGCCTTCCAGCCCAGGGTGGGCAGTGTCCCCAAGTCCTTAGAAGAAGCCACTGAAGCCACAGTGGGAATGGCCCCCAAGTCAACAGAGGAAACCTTCCAGCCCATGTTGGGCAGTGTCCCTGCCTCTTTAGAGGAAACCACGCAGCCCGAGCAGGGTGATGTCCCCGAGCCCTCAGAGGAAGCCCTCCTGCCGAAGGACGACGACCTCTGTGAGCCCGAGGACAAGGCGCCGGAGCCCCTGGACGAGGACTTGGTGAAAGTGATCTTGGACAAGGAGGACCTCCAGAAGGTGCTCGCGACGGCCGGCGAGCGGCTGGTGGCCGTGGAATTCTCAGCCACCTGGTGTGGGCCTTGCAGGCATATCCGGCCGCTCTTCCATGCCCTGTCCCTGAGGCACAAGGACGTGGTGTTCCTGGAGGTGGACATCGACGTCTGCGAGGAGCTGGTGAAGGACTTTGAGGTTTTCTCCCTCCCAACCTTCCAGTTTTATAAGAAGGAGGAGAAGGTGGGCGAGTTCAGTGGGGCCCTGATAGAAAAACTCGAGGCAGCCATTGCAGAATTAAAGTGACCATATATTTCGAGAACACTGTCAACAGTCGGCAGTTTACAGCTTGTGATTTTGTTGTTGTTGTTGTTTGATTTACAAACCAAGTGTAACCAAAGTGTATGTGTGAATGGCACTGCTCTGACAGGAGTGTCACCCTTTCCACAGCTCAAGGCATTGAAGCCCGTAGTGAGCTTCTTGCTGAGGGGAGAGCTGAAGACAGAGATTCCGTGGGTGGACATCGAGAGCCCCAGTGTCCCCTCATTTTCAATCTCAGTTTTATTTTTCCATTTGCCTTTGAAAATTCTGCTCATTTTTTGCAGCAACCTTGGGAACTTAGGTAACTCCTTTGTAGGAGAATACGACTAAAAGATGAGTGGAAAGGTCTTTTCTTATGGGCTCGCATACCTTTGGGGATTCTGATAAAAGACTTTTGGAAATAAAGAGTTTGGAAGAGACCGGTGCCTTGGCTGGCCACACGTCTTATGCTGGGAGTGCCGAGGAGCTGCCTGCAGCTGAGGCTGTCCCCAGATTTCAGGCCAGGGCTCCCTTTACTAATCCATGCTTAAAGATCTGAGACAGAGCTCAAAACTTGGGTTTTCTCAGAGTCTCACGTTCCCCTGTCCTTGGTGTCATTATGACATCAATGCCCTGGTGGCAAAGTTCCTGCCTTGTCTCCCTGGTTACTGGTTCCTGATTTCTAATCCCAGGTGTCTCCAATCCCAAAGGCCCAGGTCTGGACCACAGGTGTTGGCTTGGTCCAGAGTGGCTGGTTATTTTTTGAACAGCTTCACTGAGGCACGATTGATGTACCAGGAACTGCTCACGCTGACCCTGGGCAGCTGGAGGAGTCTGGCCAAGTGCTCACACCTGCCACCCGCCCCCTCCAGAGTGGCCTCGGTTTCCTTTGCTTTTTGTTATTGTAACATGAACACCTGAGCCGATCTGCCCTCTGAACAAAGTCCTAGTGGCCGACCCCACACTGCCCACTCCAGGCAGGTGACCTTACCTTGTGTGACTGAGCTCTGTTCCCACTGAACAGTCACTCCCGTTTCCCCTCACCCCACCCAGCAGCCACTGTTCTCTTTTATGCTGGTCCAAATGTTTTTAAAAATATGAATTTATGGCCAACACTGTAAAGACCAGGATTTCCTCTAAAATAGAAATTTTTAGATTTGCTTGAAAAAATGCAAAGATCTGGCAATCAGAGGTTTGCTTTATTTGAACCAATCAATCCTGGGGACTGAGGGGCAGCACACTCCTTGAAGGGGACATCTGTCACAGAGCTGTGGGCGACTTTGTTTATCCAGGTGGGTGGCAATCTCTGGGGAAGATGCTAGTGCCTGGCTGTGGGCCTCGCCTGGCCGTGGACCTCCCCTGGCTGTGGGCCTGCCCTGGCCACCTCAGAGATACCTCAGAGTTAGGCCTCCTTTGCTCCATTAACAGCGAACCAAATACCCTTTACACTTGGCCCTCGTTCCAAAAAAGATTTGGAATGATCTGCAAAAAGGGCTAATGATAAGGCCAGCGAACTAGTAAGAGGAAATTAGAAGCTTCAGTGAATACCACATCCACTCTGAGGGCTGGTGTCAGAGCTCAGATCGAGGGACCAATTTTGTCCTGAGCTTCTTGACCAACAGGCGAGAAGATGGAAATTCAGCAGCACCCAGATGTCATTACCTGAACTGAACAAGCTTCAGGATGCGGAGGAGGAGCCCCGTTGTTCCTGAACTAACTCCCTGGGTGAAACGTCTCTCTGAGGACTTAAGTATGAAACGCTGAACCACAGATGCTGTGCTCAAGCAGATGCTGATGCCGGGCCCAGAAGAGTCTTCACACGGCCACTCAGGCCAGTGATCGTGGGGAGAAGCCAGCGCCAGGAGAAGGTCTTCTCAGTGGGAAGAGTCCAGATTCCATCCAGTAGACGGACTCCTTCTGGGGAGGGAGCTTCCTCTGACTTTACACTGTGACTTGCTCCTGCTTTCCCTCAGAGCAACAAGCTCCTTGATTCTGCCAGCTTCGACACAGGGGCCCAGACATTCATGAGTTGGCCCCACCCATGCCACCAGAGCCCAGTCTGGCCACTGGTGAGCCCTCACCTTCAAACTATGCAATCTGAAGGATCGGGGACTCTGAAATATGACATTGGTGACATACACCAAGCAATGACTTTCTGGGACCCTAGATTCAAAGTCATTGTTATCAATATCTAGATTGCTAAGTAATGTTATGGACAATGACATCAAAAATCCCCCAAATTTTGTGGTTGCCATTGAGAAGAGATTTAAGAGTATTGTTAACGTCAGGGGCTGGGGTTGGAGCTCACTGGCAGAGTGCTTATCTAGCACATGTGAGTTGGATCCTCAGCACCACATAAAAAAAATAAATAAGTTTAAAAAATTAAACAGAAAAAAGAGTTGACTACCTCGGGTATTCGGTCGAAGCAATGGAAAGCCGACGGACACACTGGGAACCGGCCACCTTCTCCTCAGCATCTCCTCCTCCAGTGTGGGTTCCTCATTTTGGAATAGCACTGCCAAGGGGGTCCACACAAGGCCCTGGGGCAGGGCTGGGCCTGTGTCCTCTGGGATCTCACCACTAGTAGGACTCACAGATGTGCCCCCTTTGTCTCCTGGTAGCAGAGCATGGGGCCGGGGCAGACACAGAATTGCTTCTCAGTGATGAGCCGCCAGCTCCTGCAGAAACCCCCTCCCCGCTGCTGCCCCAACTCCACAAGACTGCCGGTGTCCCTGAAGGGACAGGACTCAGTTATTCCTGATATGAGCAAGGCTTGCTGCCCAGTGTGCGTAGAAGCCCAAACTATGGCTTCCCTGACTTCTGTAAGAAGAAACCTTTATCAAAGCTTCACCATCAAGGAGATGGGGCCCTGCCTGGACCCCCTGCAAGGAGATGGGGCCATTCCAGGTCCCCCTTGCAAGGAGACACACGCATGCCTGGTCCGCCCTGGCAGTCAGCTGGGAGGAGTTTCTTTGGGGCTTTTTGATGTCTTGAGTCTTGATTGGATACAGTGGTGTCGTTCAGGTTTTTAGTATCCTAGTGCTGTTATGATTTCATGGTCAGCATCCCTCACTCCTGATGGTCATCCCTGTTACCCTGGTCCTAAATCCAAGGTTCCATCCATCTTGACACCTTGTGGTCACTTTTACAGGACAGTGTGTTCTGCAATTATCTTCTACAGCCGATGGAAATGAGGACATCATTTAAACATGCCCAGCGGTGGGGGAAGGAACTGAACTCCATCTGATTTGGGTGGTTTGGGAGGGGGCGTGGCTTCAGAGTCCCAGTCTTGGAAAGGACACAGGGCTGGTGAGGTGAGGGAGACCAGGCCGCCTATGTTGCAGGCTGGCATCTGTCAGAGGACTCTGCCCGGGGGTGCTGGGAGACAGAGGTCTTGTTCCTTTGAAGATGACATTCTTGGGCACGGCTCTTGGAGAGAGGCTTCTGAGTTAGACAGGAGATACGCTCACAGCTGTGCCCTCTTGGGCGGTGGCGCCAGGGAGCCTGCTGCTGTCCTCACGAGGAGGGTCCTGACCTCAGCCCCTACCCCAGGTTCCTCAGTGTGCACCCAGGGATAAGAACACGGCTGGTTGCCCTCTCATATCCCTCTGAATTCCAGTGCTGCCTCCCCAGGGTCCCAGCTCTGAGCTTCCTGTAGCAGGCAGAGGACCTCCGTGCTGGCTGGCCACGTCCAGAGGAGGGAGGGCAGCGAGAGGAGGGCAAGACAAGGAAAAGCGAGTCAAGTGCTAAAGACAGATCCCTGCTTCACTGTAATTGAACCCAAGGCATAAAATGTCATGATGATTGGTCGTCTGTGTGTATGGATGATTTTTCACTCTGATTTTTGTTTTTTCTACTTACTTATATAATTAAAAAAATAAAAAAAGAAAACTAATGGAGAGCTGTGGAGACTCCAGCTGGAGAGATCCTGCTGGGGAATAGACACAACCTAGAGGAGGCCTCTCTGGGGAGGACAGGAGCCGGAGCCTGGGCACATGGACGGAGGGCCAGCACCTAGCCCTGGCCACACTCCAGCCCCAGGCCACACCTCCCAGGGCCACGTCAGGCAGAGTCTCTGTGTTTGTTGCCCTCAGACTATAAATGGTCTAGGAATGGAGACCAAGTCAAAGGTGGCTCTCCTGCGTGGAGGTGGACTTTGTGTGACACAGGTGTCACTAAGTAGGTGGTTTACCATGCTTTGGTCACGCAGAAGCCCAGCTTGAACCTGCTTCAGAGAGAGTGGAATTGGAGAGCCTAAGGGATGGCCAAAGGTACTCAGATGGCACCAGCCGGACTCAGATGTTTTCCACCTCTCATCTGCTGCTCCTGCTGACGCCCATGCTAAGTGACGCTAATATGGCTTGTGAGTCAAAGGAGAATATGAAACATCCTGTTAGTTCGTTTGCTCTAATAGTATACCCTGCGGTGCTGGGGTGTGGTCCAGGAGTAGGTGCTGGCCCAGCACAGGTTAGGCCCTGGTTTGATCCCCAGCACCACAAACAATCAACAGCAACCATAACCCCACTGCAGGGCCTGGAGCCTGTCAGACCTGCAAAGCCACAGGAGCGGAGGGATTTCTGTGGGCAGTGGGAGGAAGAGCAGCCATGCACACAAGCATATTGATCTCAGGAAATGGCATGTGGCCTCCCTTCATTAGACCAAGAGGCTGCACTAGTGATGCCATCAGAATCACCTTCTCCCCACTTATAAGTCACAGTGGAAAACCAGACCCATTAACAGGCTGGGTATTTATCACATTCCTTTTAACACACCCTCTCATTATACTCTGATCCAATCTAACTTCCTTGAGTCTGTATGTGTGCAGCCTTAGAACTAAAGGCTTGTGCCTTATTCAAATGATCAATTATCTTATGCTAACAAGTGACTTCCACTAAAAGTGGTACATGGCTTGTGAGTCAAAGGGGAATATGAAACGTCATATTAGTTTGTTTGCTCTAATAGAATACCTGACACTGGCTTCTTTGTAAAGAAAAGAGATTTATTTA